ACTGTGCTTTGATAAACCGGCCCTAAGTAGGGCACATGTTGTACTATAATTTTTTCTAAATCCGGATTGAGTGTCGGGAAGTATAAAGAATTTTTCTAGGTAAGCGATCAATTGGAACTTTATAATTTTTTCTAAAACTGGTAATAAACTGATCGGTCTGAGATCATTACACTCAGTGGGTTTCATTCTTTTAGGAATTGGAATAATTAGAGCTTGTTTCCATCTGTTTGGAAAGTAGCCTTTTTCCAAACAGTCGTTAAAGATGTTGACGATGTGATGGAGAATAACTGGCAGGCAAAGCTAGATCATTGACAGGGATATACCATCAATTCCCTTCGCATCAGATTTTAGGCTCCCTATTGCCTGTAACACGTCATTTGAGCTAATCTTATGTAATGAAAAAATATATTCTGAGCTTAATTTATTTTTGTAATAGTTTTCGCAAACTAGTGAATCAACAGGTTTGTAGCTATAAACAGACATAAAATAATCATTAATTTTGGTAGGGTCATTAAAACTTGTCGGAAGAGTTGGTTTACTACGAAAATTTATATCAAGTTGTTTGAGAGACATCCACAATTTTTTTGAATCATTTTCATTTGCCAAATTTTCGATATATGTCTTTTTGTCCTTCCTGATCATGTTAAGAGCACGGTTTCTAAGCGATTTGAAGTTATTATAGGTGTCCACGGTCTTATTAGTTTTATATAAAGCTTGTGCAGTATTCTTTTCATCAAGAACAGTGCGCAGTTCATTAGTTAACCAAGGTGATGGTGGCTTATTAACTTTTACAGTTTTAAAAGGTGCATGTTTATTATAGGTTTCCACGATAACGCTTGTAATGTGCATTACTTTCTCATCAATATTAGATTTCGTAAATAATTCATCTATGCCCGATGTAGAAAGATCGATAAGAAAATCATCCTCACTGAAATGTGTTTATCACTGATTGTGATAAATTTTTGTTTTCTTTTATAAGATGGAATGTCAAAATGAAAAAATACGAGTTTGTGGTCCGAAATACCATTCGTGTCCATGACGGAAGAATAGCTGCATGTTTGAGGATTGTTTAAAAATATTGGATCGATTAATGTTGCAGTACTATCTGAGACACGGGTGGCTTCCGTTACGATTTGTGTGAACCCCATCAGCTCAAAACTCAGTGAGAATATATTGTTATTAAAAAAATTTATATTTAGATCTCCCAATATCATGATGTTATGATGATATAACGAGAGGCTGGGTAGAAAACCATTTAATAAATCTGCACATTGTTGTACGTTTTTAGAGGGTGGTCGGTACAAAACACCTACTAACAGTTCACACTTACCCGCTACCAATTTAACCCAAATGCTTTCGAAAAAATCACCAAAATTTGTATGAATTTCTACCTTTTTAGCATGTAAATTCAATTTAACATAGATTCCAACTCCACCACCACCAGATTCTCTACCACAACGCAAGAAATAATAGTTGCTAATATTAACCACATCATCAGTAATATTTTCATTTAGCCACGTCTCTGTAACAGCGAATACTTCAAAATCTTCTAATGCTATTAAATTTACAATAGCATCAAAACTAGATAGGAAGGAACGTACATTCAAGTGTCCGATAAGCATTTTACTACCAGCCATTAAGAGTATTTGAATCGTATATAATTTAGAAAAGAGTTTAAGTATTCTAAATAATTCTAAAATGATCAAAATAAAATTCGTGAGAGATGTCTTTGTTGAAAGAATTCATACACTGGGAAATTTTTGTCTGTCGGAAGATGATCGGTACTGTAAGATTTTTTATACTGTTGATTTGAATACAAACAGTTGCAACATTTCGAATGTACCTGCTTACAAAGGGAACTGTCATGGTTTTCTCCACACTGAGCACAGACTTTAGGATTTTGACGTTTTTTTCCAGAATGATTAAATCGGAAACAATTTGTGCGCTGAGACACTTCATTATTTTTGTATACAGATACATTTTGAAATCCTAATAGAATTTGTCCATTATAATCTTCAAAAATCTGTTTCAATAAATTACATGTGACCTCTGCGTAAATAATATAAATTTTTTTTTGTGCAACATAGGTACTTAATAACATTTATCTTAATATCTTCTTTTTCTATGAAATGGTTCTGTCTTGTGATGTCTTCTACTATCTCTTCTTCGGTAGTTCGTTCATCTGTATGGTAGCCCACGATTTTGATTTTAGGTCTAAACATCTTCGGTTCAGACACCTGGTACGATGCTGGCAATTTTTTCTGAATTTCTTCCTTTAACTGGACATGATTACTTTCGTGGACTTTAATTTCCACACCACTGTTTCTAAAATTCTTCACGTCGTCAATTTTGATTTGAAGTTTAGACAAGGTTAAGTTTTTGTCTAGATCTTTACGCGTCTTGAGGCTTGTTTGTTGCTGGCTTGGTATAATCACTATGCTTTTCAATGGGATTTCCTTGCTTTTTGTAGCATAGGTCTTTTTTACAATTTGCGAATACGAAGTGCTTGTCATAATTGATTTTTCAATTATGCCAATCCTAGTATTCAGTTTCTTGGGCGCGTCAACTAGTTTCTTTTTCAGTAATATTTGTCGACAATAAATTCAGCTGAAGCTTGAAATCTAGTGTTCTCGTTCACAAGTTGCTCAATCAATCTATCTTTTTCTATTAATAATTGACTGTATGAATTAACTTTTTCATATAATATTTTTATTTCCTGTTTTGGCTCCTCATTTGTTGTTCTAAGGCACTTACTGTTTTTAGGTGTTTCCGTAGGTGCATGACTTGGTTTGGTTACCACCATTTTAGCACTCTCAGACGTAGCTGAAGCAATCTCAGCAGTTTTCTTTTTTTTTTTATTCATGGAGTACCCAGTATGGTCGTATCACTTTCTTCTAGTCTAGATGATTGACGAAATATTTTGTCAAAATTCTTCGCTGTATTGGCTGAAAAAATGTTTGCCACAGGAAAATCTGTTATCCTCCAAGAATATCAACGGAGCTGCACCCCAACAATAGTTGCAGTAGCGAATAATAAAATATTTCAACAGTTTTCTCGAGGTATACGCGGATTCAGTGCAATGAGGCAAGTCAAAATGAAGTGACAATTGACACTGATGATCGACCTTTCAAACCGCATCTATGACAACAATTTTCCCAACTGAGGAAAATTCAGAAGATGTGGCAGAAAGCATGAGCTCTACCATGATCGCACGCGTGGATATAAGGTCGTTAATTTCGATTTATCGAGTAAATATAGATACAAAACCGGGCCGGTGAACCGCATAAATCAACTCCTTCCTCCCCTGCCAGCCTCCCTCCGCCCTAGGCATTATAGCCTAGTCATTTTAGGTATCTACAAAAACGCTGCGCTTTAGCATAACCTGTTTTGTATATATACTAAGTGACATAATTTTATATAATGTATACTAAGTGACGTATAAATCCGAACATCCAGTTTAAATGGTTTTATGTTAATAAAATTTTGTATAAGTACTTAATGCAGCATAATAAGTAAATGATAAAAATTTCAAAATGATTGCACTGCTTTAAAGCCCTTTGACCTGTAATAATGTGTGGATGCACCCTGATGTGCTACGCATTCTCCAACGCGCCTAGGCATGCTTCTGATCAGGTGGTCAATGTCCTTCTGTGGTATCTCATTCCAGGCAACCACCAACTCCTCTCGAAGTGCTTCTAGAGTCTGAGGAGGACGTTGCAAATTGAGCAATCTCCTACCCATCATATCCCACACGTGCTCAATTGGGGATAAGTCGAGAGATCTTGGTTGCCATGGTAACAACGTGACATCATTATGTTGAAAGAAGTCTATTGTGACTCTTGCAACATGTGGTCGGGCATTATCTTGTTGGAAAGTTGGATCTGCCAGGGTGTCAAGATAGGGTAAAAGATGGGGTTCTAGAACTTCGTGGATATAACGCTGCGCGTTCGTGTTACCTCTGATGAAGATTAAAGGAGACCTGGAACCATAAGCTATAGCACCCCAAACCATAACTCCAACAGTGTGATGAACATGTCTTTCAACAAAAAACTGTGGATTCCTCCTTTCACCACGTCGCCTTCTAACCCTGGCACGACCATCGTGCATGCCTAAACAAAATCGAGACTCGTCACTAAAGACAATACTGTTCCATTCCTGATCCCAGAGTGACCGTTGTCTGCACCACTCAAGGCGATTACGTCGGTGTTCTCGAGTTAAAGGGAGGACCCAGTGTGGCCGGTATGAAAACAAGCCAAAACTTCTCATTCGTCGGTAAACACTTCGCATGCCAATAGGTCTTCCGTGTTCTGCAAACCATTCATCTGCAATGAACCTGGTAGTGGAGAAACGGTCCCTTAAGGCCAATAATCTTAGGCGGCGATCTTCACGGTCTGTTGTTCTACGGTGGCGTCCAGTGCCCCTTGCTCTTTGCGTACGGCCTTCTCGAAGCCATGCCTGACAACACCCAACCGCAGTGTCTACACTTCTTTGCACTCTAACTGCAATTGCCCGAAAAGAAAGTCCAGCTTCCCGCAGTTTCACTATACGGCCCCTATCAAAGTCACTAAGTTGACGAAATCGTACAGGTCTCCGTACTCTAGGCATCATTTTTACAGCGTTAGTGAATTAAAAAAAAAGCAGTATAAAAACCTGAATGTCCAACTGATAAGGCTGAAAATTTTTTCACTTGTTATTTACAGTAAGATAAATACATTCACCAACTTTTATTAAAATGAAACCATTTAAACTGGGCGTTCGGATTTATATGTCACTTAGTATATTTGTGCTTATTTTCCACCGTACGTATCGACCCATGTCGCTAGCCTGAAACATTTGAGTACAGGGAGTGCTACTATTGATTAACTCTCTTCAGCTTTCTTGGATGATCGCTTACAGAAAAATTAGGTCAGTCAAGTAGGTCGACTCTGCACCTCCCACGCAACGGTGTCATGAGTCCGTAAAGAATTATATTCGGTACAAGTTAGCAGCTCCGAGCTACGAACATGTATATCATAGAAATTAAATGTTTTGCAATATGACTTAACAAACGGACGCAGGAGGCTGCATGTTACTGCATGTTGAGACACGTCTATGAGTGCATAGTAGCCGCCAGCAACAGGTCTGTTGATTTAGTTGTTCATTCGTATTGACAGTGTAAAGTGCGAGCTATGGCATCGCGGTCACGTAGTGAGATAAGGGCAGTTTAATGCGTGGTTTAGGCATAGACCAGTGCTTAGAAGAGACGACGCTTGCATTAAAGAATGATTGTCCTCATCGTACGACTATATTCAGCTGGTACAGAGAATCCCAAAGGGGCAATTTCATTCCGGAGGACGCTGAGAGGGAAGGCCGCGAACGTCAGTAAGAGAGGAAAACATTACTGCTGTGAGGAAAATTCTTGGCGAAGACCGGATAGTGACATACGGTTTAACGACTGGTTTTGGCGGAGGAAGAAGTGTATTTATTGAATGTGGTGAAAATTACTTTTAACGAAGTCAATAAACAAAACTGTATTGCAAAACTTCCATATAATTAATCCATAAAAATGTTCCCTACTCTACTGACAGTCCCTCGACTATGAGGCCAGTTGACTCACCTGCAGAGAAGAGAGACATGTATTTCCAGTGGCGAAGCGTCCATGTAACCATTGTTACCCTTGGTAACAGTTGAAAATCTTAAAAATAAATATTTTATGACTTCTTTTATGGATACACTTGGTAGTCTGTCGGGGACCATCGGTACCGTCTCGTTTCTGATCGCGGTCGCCCGAGTGCGTGGGGCGCTGCGACTATTATGTGGGGCTTGTTACCATTTTTTGATTTGGTTTCTCACTCGTTAGTAGCCGTTTTGGTTACCGACTGTAGTATGCGTGCAATTATACATGGATGAGTGTCGCTGCGTAATCGATCAACTACTTGAAAAGTCATTCTCCTTGTATAATTTTTAAGAAAAAAAGGAGATCATTGAAAATGGAAGACCAACGCCTATTTTAGATAATTTTAAAAAGGAATAAGAAACGTAGTTTGATATTTTAAATTGAGTTGGTATATGGAAACTCTTGTTTATATCGCTGTAAAGAAACAGATTGTATTGTTGGCGATGTCTTCTGTTTTTTACAAAATAAAATGCAGCGGACTCACGATTTAAACAGTTTTGGGGCTCTAAAGAGGAGACATGAAATTTCTCCGTTACATGTGAGATGTGCAGCCAATTTAATTCAGTTTGGCAAAACAAGAATCAAAAGTTGTCTTAACCAAGCTTTTAGGCAGCACACTTCTAGATACCGTATGTTTTTTGGCAAAACAGGAATTACCGATCAGTTTGAAGGGGATGACTCTGACAATAGAGGAGATTACACTGAATTGTTAAGATTCATTCCCAAATTTTCCGAACATCTAGAAACGTCGACTGTTTTTTCGGACGGCTTGGAATAGTCATAGCAAACGACGATGAGGTATATCAAGTGCCCCCAGACGTTCAGTCCAGGAATGTTTACCTTAATTTAAAAATAGTTTAAATAAAATACCTAAAATAAGCAAAAACTTATATTTTGGAGGTTCAAAATAAACTTTTATAAGATTTTTCACATCAATGTGTAATTTCTACAGATATTTTTCTCAAAATGGCCAGAAACATCTGAAACCTCAAATTCTAAGCGATTTTATCTATTTTTTCGTTTTTTTCCTCGAAGTTTCACCGCCACTGGACCAATTTGTTATGAATACTAAGCTCTTTAGGCCTTGACACTATAGTAACACAGAAAATTTCATCCACATTCAATTCGCACTTGCCAAGATATAGACGGGCCAACGATTAGCGACCGACAGACGGACAGAAAGACCGACAAAATGACAGCACTATAGATCAAAAGGCAGAGATACCAAGAAAACTGAGTAGTATATAAAACCAAAAAACATGGTATCTCATTTCCGAAATTTGTCGTGTTTGCAATACTTCCGCGCCAGTGGCCTAGGGAGTAAATGTTTCATTCTAAAGTCATAGAGTCTAGTGACTGCAAGATGCCTGCTATTCTGGTGGTACAGCAGATACGGTCTGAATGGAAAAGTCTGTATCTTTTTAGTGAACATAATTGGTTCTATGATTACAAATGTACAGGGTGTTTGAAAGGCCAATGCAAATATTTCAATAGCTAATGATACACTCCCAGCCAAATAAGATTAAATGACATATACCTTAGTGCAACGTCGAACGTTTTTGAGTTACGCGTTATTTTGTAGAGTCTCGTCAATCATAAAGATCAACTCCTTTGCTACGTATCACTAATCTTGATGCAGAGTCTCCCTATAAAAACAGTTTTCGAGTTACTAAGAAACAGAGAAAATATTATAGATAATAATTTTCGTTTACTAAATGGTTCCATTTTCCAGTGCTTCGTGTTTTTCCGACGAGCTCATGGAAGCATTTCTAAATGAAAATTACTGAAGAAACTTCTGTTCTTTTTTTGTGACTTAGCATGCGATGCAACCGTAATTATTTTCTCAATAAATCAAAATATTAGAACAAGCAGAATTCGATCAAAATTACAAAAAATCATAAAATCCATTTTTTGTACAACAAAGCACTTGATAGTGACGAGATTATCGATTTCACTACCCAGTAGCAAAATGTAAACCGTTATGCCTTATATTTCGTATTTCTGTAATAGTCGTATAAGTAGTCAGTTTACTAAGAGTTATTCGGTTTAAACAGTACCGTATAGCTTTTCACTGAGAGGACATGGCAACTACCCAAATTTGAATTACTAAAAGAACCTAACACAAACAATGTGCGACCAAAATTTGTTATATTCGAAACGTAATTTAACTTGACTATTGCCAGAATCACGGGTGGGATCCCCACGTGTTATCCCATGTTCCATTCAATTTTCCGTTGGGAGAACAACCCGACCAACCATTATTCTTCATTTTGCAGCCATAGATTACCACCAGTCGAATTCAGGAAGCATCGTGATTGTTTGGGCAACGCACACTGCGAGGAAACTAAAATCCGGCGTGCAAGGAAGGATGTCCGCACAAAACAAATCGCCTCTATATATTACGCGTGGGCGATGTAAGTCTATAGTTCATACAGGGCAACTTCGAAGTTCAGTCATTTATTCTAACAGTGAGTAGATCTGATCAAAACAAATGTTTTTTCCTTTACCATTTTTCTGGTAAAATTAAAGTAACAAAGTTATAGCCCTTTGGAAGTTTGAGTACTGCCCTGTCTCAATAATAATATTATGTGCTCGTGTTTGGCGACAACGGATATAATCCTCCTTATCGGTTCATCGCATCGGAAACAAAAAAGCGAAAGAATTTGGAACGATGTTTGTACAATTTATTATTTTATTCAGTTCAGTTATACATACAGTCAGTGTCAGTCGCGTGTGAATAGTGTCTGTTGCGTGGCTCAAACGAAATAAAAAATGGCACATGTTTATGCGGATCGGTTTCCCAATCGAGTGCAACCAACCCCTCGTGCCTTTGTTAATGTAGTACAACGGGTTCGTGAATCAGGTGACTTAAGACCTCACATATGGACCGCATGCCGGTGCTCCAAGACCTCACGACCAAATACAGGTCCGCACTGAAATACTTGTCGGGAGGATACTTTATAAAACAAGGTAAAATTTTTTTTTAATTTTTTTTTATTTTTACACACATGTTTTGGTTTATCTTCCTTCTACAATCATTATCTGAAAATTAATGACTCAACTTCAAAGTCACCCTGTATACAGGGCAGCCAACAATAATCGCAGTATTTATAGAGCAAAGAGCAAATTATAGGTAACATTCTCTAGACATATTCTACGACAGTAACGGCACTCACAGGGTATATGGATATTTTTCCAAACAACATTGTGATAAGACGACATTATTCCCATATTATACTGGGGTGCATCGGTAGCTTGTCGTTTGGCGCATCGGGCTGGCGACCCGGGGCCCGCGGGTTCGAATCTCCGCTTCGGCTGTTTAATTCTGAGCCATGGATGTTGTGTCGTGTGTTGTCTGTAGAACGCACGTGAGCGCAGTATCAACGATAGGAACATCTCATCGCTGGAGCGTTATTATATCAGTCGCCAGTAGATGACTCGTGGACTGCTGGTACTACTTGATCGGCAAAAAGGGTGTAGTGAAGCTTGGTATTTTTGAAAATGGTTCAGCCGCGGCCGGTAAAAATATAGTTAAAACGATTTTTTGATGCATCAGAGGCTCCTGATCACCTTCAGAAAAATTTTTGTGAGGATTAAAATCGGGATTGGGGGTTATAAGGGGCGGGAGAGGGTATATCTCAATGTTTGGATGTTATTTTATTCATACGTCCCCAGCCCCGGTAAAAACTGTTTCTCTCCTGTGTTCACCGGCGGGAGTGCCGGTCTGGTTGAACATTCTGCCCGTACCACAACTGTGCCGGGGTGGATGGTACTACCGATAGGTCACGGAAAGAATGCCTGGAATAATAGTATAGGCCCGTTTGACTGATTTGATCCATTAATTTCCCTGTTGTACGTGTTCGTAACTAACTTTTTCCTCAGAAGGTTTAGTTGATGCTGAACCTCTTTCATGAATTGATTGCGGCGTTGCGTGTGAACTGTGCAGTCAACCTACTGTAAGCCATTCAATGAATATGTAAATAAATGGAGACTCTTGATCAGCACATGGCCCGGTAATATTATCTTTTCTTATTTTTTCAATACTAAAAGCAGCAGAAGCCCAAACGTCGGGACACCGCTGCTGCTGAGGTTCCCAAAGAAATATTGTTAATCCTGTAGTTCCACAATCTTGACACCCTCGGGGAACAAAAGAGCGATCGTATCGGCCAGTTCTGTATGTACGAAGTTCGATACGGTCAGGATCGGAGGCCGAAGTGAGACGGGTGCATCTGGCTGGCACATCGCGCGGTGGCATCATGAGGGAGAGCTCTGAGGAGCAAATCCCGGTGGTGTAGTGGTAGAAAAGAGCTACATCGCCGACGGCCCGCCGGTGCGAAAGGGTCCCGAGACTGCCTGTTAGAGAAGAGTTATCGATCAGATCCTCTGGACAGCATGGAGCATAAACAATGAAGTCAGGGCGGCAGCACTCCAAACATGTCAGGAATACTCAAGGCTAGGTCGAGTCCGAGCCTGGTGGAGAGTCAGGAGGACATGGGGAAAACAACTTCTTAGTCCTGAATAAGTAGCCTAGCTTTTTTTCATCAGCTGCCGCTATTCATGCCAGGCCATGTCCTCGTTGATCTGGATTTGACCAGCTGAAATGAACGGCTCTTTGCCAGAACTTGGCCATCCATCAAAACCTGTGCGATGACGCTTTCTGTTCGTCAAGATGTAGTACTGTGTTTTGGAAACATCAAGATTGTTGCGTTCC